ACAAACATAATTACATCAAATCAGTTGTGATAATCTAGGGATTGATACACTTGTTTTATGGAGATAACAGATAAGTACATGTGTTATGTTGAGCCAAATCTATCAACAATTACAACAATTACATCATCATACGCCAGCAGCAGCGGCTAAAATAAACATCGGGAGAATGCTCCTTACCCTCAGTTAAAGGAGGGAGATAGGAGACCTTCATACATCTTCCAAGATGTCACAACAAGGTCTAGCGACCAAGTATGGAGTCGGCATTGGTAAAATCAATTAATGCCCAAATACGAGGGTTGTCCCAGAAGTAATGCACTATATGCTCTAACTTTATCAATAATTGATATTTTTCCATAAAATTTTCAGTAAATGTTTCTTAGAGACATTTTGATTATTCTAGAAATTTTCATGTTGACTGATAAAACTATATTGATGTTATAATAAAATCAAGTTGGTGAGTCTGGGTAGGGCGGGGCAGGTTATACAGTCACATCAAAAGGAATAAAAAATTGAAAATATGAAATAATTAATCAACAAATACCATTTGGTGTAGCTATAAGAAGTATGCTCAATAATACATTTTAAGATACTAAATCACTTTGAGCACATCCTAGGTTTGATGGATGTATATTGCACAATGTCCCATTTCACATTTCTCAAAATATTGTCCTTTGCATGTTATGTACTTTTGATGCCTGTCAGGTTAAACACTCTCGGCAATTTCTTCCACTGTGACTTGTGGAGTTTTTGCCTCCCATGTTTGAAGTTGTCATACAGGGTCAAATCGTCTCTTTTAAATCTCTTCTGCCACCCCATAATTGTAGTTCTATCTGGTATATACTCCTTATATACTTTCTTCATGGTAGCATTGTTTTGCGTGGCTGTGAGTCCAAGTGAAGTATGAAATTAGGCCACCAAACGCAAGGCCTTCTGTTATCAGGTGAGAATTGCAGCCATTTTTGCAATTTCTTGACTGTGACTGTATTTGAATTTGTGACTATTGAAATGTGGTATTATGACATCACAGTGCTAAATGTCATTATTCGTACTTGGTTAACATCATGCTGAATAAATTTGACAATTTCCCAAACATTTTGACCATTTAAAGGAAAGAAATATTAATAAAATAACACTTTAGATCTTTTCATAATTAGAAAAATTGGTACCTGCCCCGCCCACCCCTACCCCCATGTTGTTATAGCAACCATATTAAGACTTAAGATTAATGTTGGATGCTGCAACTTCAGGATATAATAGATAAAACTTCAATTGTTATATACACAAAATTTCAGCAGAATTGAAGAATATTAAAGAAAGTTAGAGCATATAGTGCATTACTTCTGGGACAACCCTCGTATATACAAAAAAATGCTTATTCGGCAATTCTGAGTTGGCTGAAAGTGCGGCCCCTCTCTATAGGGAAAACCTCTGAACAAGGAAACTTTCCTCCAGTCCGAAGAGCATTCCCTGTTCGCAGGTTTTACTGTAATTTAATATGATTCTCACCTGAAGCCAATATATGGATGTACGTCATTTTACAACCTACATCAATATACAAAGCTGTGTCATCCAAGGATATTGAAATTCTCATCAAGTCATTGCTAGAGACACGTCTCTTCATCACCATGATATTTACCTTTTAGGACAATATAAAATGGTGTCAATGTAAAACCATACAGGGCTCAATCTCCAAATCATTTTTGACCCATATTTTGTCTAAACAGAACTTGTTGATTGTAAACATACAAACGGACCTAAAATGGACCTCAATTTCGAATAGGCATTATTTTTTTCTAGAAGACTTAAACTATGGTACCATGTGTGGCTTCACATCCTGATCCCATAAATTCATTTCTAAAAATAGATCAGGTTGAAAAAGTAGGTAAGGTCAAATTACAAATATATCATGAAAGGTCACACAGACAGACAGACAGATAGACAGACAGACAAACAAATGAGATGATGAGCCAGAAATAGGTCCAAATTTACTAATACCATTTTTCATCCCCTATCGATTGACAAACATGAAATGTTAAGTAAGGAATCAGGTCAATGTGATCCAAAATTGATTTTATTTCATCCCAGATTGACCTCTCCCTGCCTCAAAACAGAATTGAAGAGTTATTGATATGGACTTTCACCTCCTCTCCCAAATGTTTATGAACCTTGACATTAAATCTAGTATTGCCAATAAATTCCATCTGATTCATCAGTTTAGGAAATCCCAAATGCCCTAATGGAATCCTCAAATGCTATAAAGGAATCCCAAAATGCTATAAAGGAATCCCCAAATGCTCTAAAGGAATCCTAAAATGCTATAAAGGAATCCCCAAATGCTATAAGGGAATCCCCAAATGCTATAAAGGAATCCCCAAATGCTATAAGGGAATCCCCAAATGCTATAAAGGAATCCCCAAATGTTATAAGGGAATTCCCAAGTGCTATTAAAATTAGGATATATGTATTGACATTTACATATTATTGGTCTGATATTCTAAAAATTTGTTTGTGGATCGTGACAAGACATTTCTGCAAATTATCAAAGAGGTAATAAATTCAAACAAATCAAGAAATGAAAAGTAAAAATAAATTTTGTAACAAGACCGAACAGGATCTAGTTATTAGAATCCAATTTTATCTGGATTTTCTCCTTAAAGGCACTTGACCTTAAATAACATAAGAATTGCTCATAAAGTTGATATTCAATACTCATTTGAAGGTGAACATTTTTATTGCTGATAATCGGTCCAATAATATCTGTGCTAGCTTCAACTTAAACATGTAAACATACTTATTTAACTTACATAATCTACATTTTGAATAAATTGTTGATTTCTATACAATGAATCAAAGTATGGATTTTGTGTCTCAGTTTACTTTGGCGTTTACTAATTCCCCTCATTTAATTCAACTGTTTTCATTTTCAAGTATGACACTTCTGATATTTTACACAGGGGAATATTTTAATAGAAGCAGGTCAGTCTGTGACCTGGTAAGTAAATGTTAAAACTAAGGTAATCTATCCAAGCCTCATGTGACTTAATACACTATGATTAATACACAGTACTTGGGGAGCCAGAATTTCTAGGACCTCTAGAAATGTAATAATACAATATTTATTGCCTTGAGAGGTTTTTAGTATTTTTGAATTCAGGAGAGTCTTGTTCTAGAATCTCTTAAGTTGAACACAACTCTCAGATGAACATCTCTTTAATGTGAACACTACTATTCCAAATGCACCCATTTTATTCATCCAACAGCTTCCCATATTAAATCAAAGATGAACATGTTTTTTATTGTTGACCATTTTTATTTTGTTTGCAAGGAATTATGGGTATGAAGGGTTACTCAAAATTATCATGTTTGTCTCATTTTCATGATTCAGGTCTTGTATAAAATGTTTTCATAACTCTTTTATAAACATTATCAAGCACATGGGCACAAAATTAACTTATAAAATCAATATGCAAGTCGCAAGTGGAAATAATCTTATTACAAGCTCAATCAGAATTAAATAAAAATAAAAAGTATTAATTTGTGAAAGGAAATAAATTCCTTCAATAAATTAAATCTACTTTCCTTTACAAAAGCAGGGAATTTTTATAATTCAGATTTAATTAAGTTAATTTATTTAAAAGCTCTAAGGCAAGGGGTAATAAATAAAACATCTGACATATATCCTCTTTATCAATGCTAAAGTGCATGTACATTGTTCAATCACTAAGCTGTCTTAAACTCAAAAGTCTCTCTCGAACCCCCTCCTCCTCCCCACTAAACTCTACCAGCTCATGGAAGTGACATGTTTAGGAGGGATCACAAGAGATTGATGCAAGACTTTTAATATATCTCATTCTGTAAGGCAATGTTTTATGACTGAGTGAGCACTACAAAATTAAGGTCCACACATATGACACAGGCACAGCTAGCACGGATTGGAAAAATATCTTTCAAGCACGCATGTTTCGTATATCTGGCAAAAACTGAAGATTAACCTTTAGGATGTGAAAATCATTCTTTATTGTTCTGTAAAAACAAATAAGAAAAATTGTTCTATTCATTGAAAGCCCATGCTATAGCTTTGTGTATTGTATGCCACAGATTATATAATGCTTTATGTATTATATAAACAGCGTAATAGCATGTTCATTAATTCAACTTATGCAGGAAATTTGCAAATTAGTGTTTGTATAAAGCAATGACTAAGTAAAAAAATAATAATTTCTCTTGTTTTATTTAGCATTATTCAAATTAATTCAACACACTTAGTTTTGATCACTTTATTCCTCTAATTTGACATACTCATAAAGCAGTTTGATTTTTAATGAAAACTTTATACCTTGGTAATCTGTTTATTTATTTTTTGTAATTTGATTAATAACAAATATCACAGTTTTGTACCTGACTCGATTATTTAGAGCCTAGCATACTGGCATACTAAAATTCCTTCCATTGCACAGTCAAGGATAGAGATGAGATCACAGGAAAGGTTTGAAAAATTGAATTTAATTTCTTAACTTCTTTCAGATATTAAAGGAACTGTAAATGCCACATTGGCATGGTTCTTGAATAAACTGCTTCAACCATTTTACAATATCTACTCTCATACTCATACTCGTATCTTTAGCTGTCACTTAAATTTCCTGGTCATCACTTCCATAATCATCAGTTGATGAACAAACAGGATTATACCCTAAAACTAGAAAATAAAATGACGCTTACACATCTTTTTAAGGTGATGCTTATGTTGCTTATGTGTCATTTCCACTGACTGGTGATAGTTTTGATCATCTTGATAAAGAATCTAGAACACCCTTGATGCAGTCAAATTTACCAAACACTAAATAGTGCTTCCCCTGACATCTAAATGTTAAATAAAAAATTTAACTGACATCTAAAAATTAGAATCTTACAATTGTTCAAAAGTAAAATGCTTTACCTGACATCTATACATATACATGTAGTAGAAAAAGAAAATCACACAAATCTTTGGCAAAAGTAACCCTTGTTTCAAAATACTAAAACATGTTTTTTGTATATGAGACAAAATAGGTTCCTACTGATTAAAGACCCTGTTTAGTGTTTATCTTCTAGAATGGGTACTTTAACCCCTTTGAACCTAACTGTTAATAAGGGAAGAAAGATAGAACATGGACTTGATCATACATTAAACCTGTGAGGTGTGACACTTAAAGAGGTTCATTTTTTACGTTTAGTCAGTGTTTCACTTCTAGAGGTGTTCCACTTCACAAGTTTCACTGTACTCTAAACATTTTTTAACTCATTGGGAATAAATTGTTTTGATACAGAAACAGAGTACAGACATAAGAGAATTTATGGGACACAATTGCTAAAATCCAACTTTCTATAATACATTTCTTGTATTCATTTAGATTGCTTTTCATAACTCCCAATTTTTTAGTTTTCATCTACTGACAGGCTAGCTCACTCTCTAGACTTCCCAGAGGTATCCTTTCCCTTATATGGAATGGATCGTTAAAATCTTTCCGACTTATCATATAAATCTCATTCACCTCAAACTCAATATCCTTCCACTCTCTGCAGAAGTCATCTAATCGTTTTGCAACAATTTGATTCTTAAACTGTCCAAGTGTTAGATGTGGTGCGAAACCATTCAAAGACTTATTACTGAGGTCATCACACAGTTGGAACTGAGCCTCCAGGCACGCTTGGAGCTTCATAACAGCAGGATGGATCATATCTTCTGTTATGTCCTCTTTATCGTCTTTTACTTCATCTGAATCACTCCTTGTTTTATCATTGCTACATGTCCATTCATCTGCCTCATCACTCCATTCGTCTTCACTATTCTCACTTTCAAGCATCTGATTATTTGTTATGTCATTTCCAACATTACTGGTGACCTTAGTGTTTTCATTGGTGGCATTCCCTTGTTTGTTCTTATGTGTGTGATTGATCTTGCCTGCTGGTTTAGAGTTAATAGGAGGCCAGAAGGCATGTTGGAGACCCTCTAGGCCTGGCTGGTCGCTAGAGTTGTTACTGTTATAGAACTGTTCATCTGGTCTGATATCTGTACTCCATCCATTGTGCCTGCAAAAAGGAGCAAACATGTTTCTGAATAAATTATAACAAACATTTAACATTATTAAACATATAGTGGAATGTATAAGGGTTATGTACTTGGAGATATGCATAACTACCTGAGGGACCATAGGTAAATGTACATATCTCAAGAGGGATAAACCTCATATCCAAACCAACTGTACGTAACTGCTTCATCCAATACCCAGTAGTGTTTCTTATTTTTATCTTAATTTTTTCAATCAACTTTTTCAAAATGGGAAGATGTGCCCTGGAGCATAATATGGCGGGAGAATATGGAGGTTCTGAATATGGAAACCTCAAAATCAGAATACAGGATATACCTTACCAACTTAAAAACTAACCTAAGGCCATCAAGGCTGGGTTGAACAGTTGGTGGTCCTGTTTGGGAGTATGGGTTAACAATAGATGGCTCCACGAGTTTCACAGGACGTGTCCTCCTATATCGAGGGGCATCAGGAATAGTTGGAATTGGTGATTCATTTTGAATGTGTTTCATAACTTTGGATGTCTTCTGGAAATACATTTATGTATGTACATGGAAATATTTTACAATTTATTTTTTGTATAATAAATAGATTTTTTGTGCTGTATTCGTTCTATAGCACTGTTGGTTTTTTCAAAAATACTACCCTGCACGCAGAGTCTAGTTATAAACTGCCCTCTGCCTCGTATAGACTATATTACAGTTTAGCAGCCCGCCCCAAAGATTGGTGCCTGTGACAGCCTGTGTAATAAATTATTTCAAATCTACAACGCTGACCCTTTCTCAGCCAATCAGCGAAGTGGAAGGAATGCGTGCCAAATACGTGCTCATTAACTATGCGGTGGTGTCATAGGAAATTACTACATAGAAAGTCATCCATACGAACGACGAACTCTGATTGGCTCGGTGAGATCAGAGATTTATTGAAAACTGAAAGAGTTAAGATGAAGCTCTTTTTTAAGAAGTGAAGTCGAATGATTGCAAAGAGTACAAAAATACAGAATATCATAAAGCATTTCAGTAAAAAGTGATGTCCCTATACCAAAATAGACAGTATGTTTCACAGCAAGCTCATGGGGCAATATGATAGAGTGCAGTTACTCAAGGTAATTGATAGTACGAAATGAAAATAAACATCGAATAATTATCTATAGAAAGGAGTAATAAAAGCCCTAGAAATCATTTCTCCTTTGGTTACATTCTGCAAAATGAGAAAAATGTTGGATGAGTTGTCTTGGCTTTTTGAAATGCTAACATTATGTGGTCATTACAAATGGAAATAAATGTATGTGTACATGTATATGTATATGCCAGTCACAAACATTGGAGGAAAGCAATACAATATCTATAAAGTCACATATCATATCAAAACAATGACAATATAAAATATTAATTATTTAAATCATATTAAAACATCAAATAGTTTATTATCAGCAGAAAAGAATATGTGTATAGAGGATTCAGTCTGAGATGATGCCATACTTTATTGGGGTTCATCATTTTCTAACAACAATATCATTAAGAAATTCAAAAACATCATACCTTTGCATCCCTTGGTAATGCACTGTTGTGTGGTGAATTGTTTTGGAGTGCATTACTTTGCAGTGCATTGTTAGCTCGACTGGAAGGCTCATTTACATACAAGGGTTTCATCCACAATGTGCTACTTTTCCCAAATGTGAAATACCCAAATGACTCTTTCCGGAAGGCAACTCTAGAAAAAAGGTAAACTGGTTAAATAATCATGCTGATTTTCAATAGTTCAATGCCTGATTAGAATTAACATAGTTAATTTAGTTTAAGAGTGAAAATGGGATGTGGTATGGTTTTCTATCCAACAAAAATGATTATTTTGAAGTCACACAAACACAGGTTTTGTGCAACTCATAAATTGATATACAAGCTGCGTGAGTTGTGGCATCAAAGCTGATACATGTACCAATAATAATTTAAACAGACATGTGTGTGTGTGTGTGTGTGTGTATATATCACATTAGCTTCATGTACAATTATCCCACTTCAACATCTGACAAAATCAAGTTTCACAGAGAATCATATGCAACTGTGTTGAAAATCTGATTGCAATGTTGAAAAGATGAAACAATGGTGATATTCTGACAGATTAAATACAGATTCAACATCTGGTTGGGAAAACCTGAGGAGATCAAAAAATAGGGAATGAGAATTACATATGAGGGTTTATCATGAGGTTCAAAGTTTTAACAAGATATATAAGTAAACATTTATAAATGTATTTGAAAGCTTCTATAGATCATTAACTATTCAAACATGGTTCAGGAAGGTCATCTTTATTACTTGCAAGTTTTTATTTAATTACCCCGGGCCCATTGACATATTTGCTCAATATGGCAACATTTTCTCATTTTATATTTCTACTCTAACAGTTTCCTTGCTGGATTTATAAGTCATTTCATCCTGAATATTGTGTAAATTGAAATCATTAAAAAGATGAATTAAGAGAACTTAATGACCACCCTCGTATATTATTGCCTCTTTCTTGACTTACCTAAAAGGCTTGAGTCTGGTCGATATATGCCAGCAAATCTGTTGAGCAGCTCGGTTGAAATCAGAGCCATTGTCCTCTATGAATGGGTAGAGTAGATTGATATGTGGCATCCATCTTTGATAGGCTTTATCATGTTTGCTGGAGTATACAAAAAAGTAATGATTACAGGCCTGTAGCCAGGGGGGGGGGGGGGTTCGCAGGGTTCGGGCAAACCCCCCCCCCCTGGCCAAAAATTCTTTCAAAATCATGCAGTTTTCACCATTTTGAGCACTTTTCAAATGCTTTTAGCCATATTTGGGTCTACAATGGGTACAGCTGAGGCCATTAAAAATAAAATATACGTTTGATGTCAGCTCTCTCCTACGATTCAGGGAATTTTTCAGAAAACAAAAGATTCAAGTGCTCTAATGTGTACTTGTCATAATTCAAAATGAATTACTATTTCAACTTCAGTTTTGTCTTCATTAAATAGTTTACATGAATCTAAAGTGTTTGTCATTCTTTTAGCAGCTGACTATGTACGTGTTTTGCTATTTCAACTGTTAAATATAATCTAAATAAAAATACAATAAAAAAGGTTTAGTTGTTTAATTCAATTGTTTTTTTTTGGTAAGATAGAAGATAGAAAGGATCAGTTACCTAATGTACCTGAAGGTGCCCCAAAGGTTTCATTGAAAATAATATGAAAATAGTTACTTTTATCAATTATGAACACATCAAAACTGAAATTAGGTCATTTGGATTAAAACTAAGGTCATTCAGTGCATTTAAGTTTGACTACGCAAATCATTCTAAATATCATTTTAAGGGTATGTTAGTCTTCATTCATGATCATTTTAAGTATGTTGACCATTCCTCAATCGATATATCAGAACATTGTTAAGGTAGAACACAAAGAGCAACATATTGAAAACACATATCATAAAAAAAACGAAAACTTAATATATCTTTTGAAAAAATGAACCTTAATAAATGTGTTCTCAACAACAGTACCATGATCACCTCAGTTGTTTAACAGTAGGCATTCAACCTAGAGGGTAAATTAATATATCATTAAGGTGGAACACAAAGGGCAACATACTGAAAACACAAATCATAAAATAACCCCTAAAAATAATCTATCATTTGATAAAACGAACCTTGTTAAATGTGTTCTGAACAATAGTACCATGATCACCCTAATTGTGTATACTGTAGCTTTAACCTAGGTATTCAACCTAGATACTATGTCAAAACATCATTAAAGATAAGGTAGAATACAAAGAGCAACAGTTGAAAATACAAAACCTAAATTCAAGCTGAATCTAGTTGCGACTTTCCATTGCATTATGTTCTCATTGTCAAAGAAATTGAAACAATGATAGATGACATAATAGTCTTAGTTTATTTCACATGAACACTTAATAAGCAATATTCATTTGAACTAATGACTAGCCGAAACATATTTTTTCGATTATCAGGCTCATTGCTTACATATCACATGTTCTAATAGTATACCCCATGGACAGATTTCTGAAAAACATTATTTTAAGTTACCTGTGATTTAATTGCTTTATTGCAAATGACACGTTTTCTTTGATCTTGTTATCATTGAAAATTGAATACAAATCTGTTTAGAGGTTTGAACATGGTGCTCAGAATTATCTATGGGAACCCGGGTTGGATGTCTCTGTGGCGTGATACATTGACACAATAGTTATTGTAAATGACAGAGTTTGTTGGAAGGTTCAGTCAAGAATATCTTTCCAAATAAGATTTTCTATTTTTGTAGAAGGTTCTATGTTGCACCTACCTTAAGCAATACATTCAAGGCAGAATGGATTATTGACTATAATGGTAATTTCAATATGGCCTCCCTTTTGAAACTAAAATTTTTGCTATACTTTCATATTGTGTATCTTCCACACTTAGGACCCTCTCTTATTTCATGTTTGAATTATAAAATAGTGTCAATACTAAACAATAAAGGTAAATTCAGAGGGGGTCTGGTTTGTGGAAGTACCTCAATCTGTCAATGAATGGAGAAGGTTGTATACTGTTTACAACAAAAACACAATAGAATGTCTTTCTATACAATAGGATTACTAACTATTTATGCATGAATGGTACATGAAATGAAGCTTAGTAGATTAGGACACATTGTAGTTCTTATATTGAAAAGTGAAATTAAGTCTATCTACAAAACTCAAGATTTTAATCAAGGTTCTGTGAAAATATGTCAAAATTACTCATTTGAAGAGTCAACATGACATGTGTAAAGAATCACTGTAAAAAACACCTTTTTACCATTTTTTCACACTATTTTTATAATTTGTTGAAAATATACTTAATAAAGATTCAAAATGCATAAAAATAATTCTGGAATTTCATTTTACCCTTTCAATAATTTTCTAAGTTCTTATAGGTACACTAATAAGTACGGATCCTTTTAGTATCAAATGCTATGTGTATGTGTGAAGAGATTGAGCATTCCTCAAAATACAATAGAGGTTTTAGGCCAATATAAAAATGGCAGTTGTGTATTTTTTAGCTCTATAACAGGTTGACTACGTTGTCATCTTTTTATGAACATCTTCTCAATACACCCTCTACAAATAGCCTATTCACTCGTGTTTATACAGTATTTGTATATCAAAAAGTATAGTATGCTTTCTTGATATATCATATTTCAAATTAATTCTATGACCAAAAATTAACAGTAAAGATATGGGGGATGTATAACTTGCATTACACATACCTTCGGATGCTCTGTATTTGAGTCCACAGGGATTCAGGTGGTATAATAACCAGGGCACTTTTGTTGGATTTTTCCATCCTCAATCCTTCTCATGAGATAAAGAGTGAGGAACTGAAATCAGAAATCATATTTTGGAAATACATGTAGTGTTGATACTAGTGATATCATTTTTAGAATATCTTTTAGAAAATATGGAGTACTTTACATATATACTCAGAATCCGTAGAAAAATAATGAACTACAGACTGTACTTGGAAATAACACAATTCATCAATCCTTATCATGGAGAATATAATTTTACCACAATGATTTTCTATTTTCTATATATCAGTCTCTGTACTGAATCTGTCAATAACCCAAAATCATGCTGTTTTTACAATTCTGAGCACTTTTCAAGTGATTTTGGCCTTTTATGGGCCAAATTTTTCAAAAGGAACTACCCAGGCCTGTAGCCAGGATTTGCCAAGGGGGGTTCAGTTTTCAAAGATTTCCAGGGGGGGGGTTCACATTTGACAATTTTGGCCAATATATGGCTAATATCACTTGAGAAGTGCTCAAAATGGTGAGAAACTGCATGCTTTTGAAAGAAATTTTGGCCGGGGGGGGGGGGGGGGGGCTATGGGCCTGCCACCCCTGGACTTTTTGGAAAAGTGATTTTAGCAAGAGTATGCAATGCAGAAATAGAAACATCCCTATATTTCAGCTTGTATTTGCAAATGCAACTAATGCCTGTTGGCTGCCAAATGTCCATGTGCAGTATGGGAAGTGATTTTAGACAGTCATATCTTTCACCATGAGTACTTTCTGGCCATAAATACAGTGGCTTTTATTAAAACAATATGTTTTCTCTCAAGTGAAATCCCCATGATAGTAAAATATCAATCCAACTTTCTGAAAAATTATGGATTGGCACTTTTTGAAAAATGTTAGGCTTATTTTCTAAAAAGAGGATCTTGTTTTTCTCAATTTAAACATATCGAAAGTCTCCTCTACACTATATTAACAATTTCTGAAAAGGGGATGGGTGTTGAAATGAGTTAAAGTTAAAAATCACATATCCCATGTTATATTCCCATAGGGAAAACTCGTGCTATCAATTGTTTTCAGCATAATTTTGGTCATCGAAAATTGATATCTTCAAAACTAGACTTTCAATACACTTCTGTTTTTGAACATGTCTTAGACCCCTTGTTGAATAATGTTTCATGCAATAAAAATCAGAAAAAAGAACCTCTTTTGAGTAAATAGGTTCATCAATACTTTGAAAAAAATGTTGACATGGGGTCCCTATTCATAATTTTTTGAATTGTTTGATTTATATTTTTATCATCATGGGTACTTCACTTGAAAGAAAACATATTGTTTTTATAAAAAACACTGTATTTACGCCCAGAAAGTAAAGTACTCATGATGAAAGATATGACCGTCTAAAATCACTTGCCATACTGCACATGGTCTGTTACTTGCTATTTCATGGGCAACTCATTTAAAAATGAATAGTACCTGCCACTATTCTGTTCATATTTAAATAAGTTGATCATAAAATATTAGGTTAATCCAGTTGCCAACAGGCGCTAGTTGCATTCACGAATACAAGATCAGCTACTATATTTTTGAGTGTCCTTCATAATAATTGGTTTGACAATCAGCAAGTCATCATGATTTGCAAAAAGACAATTTGTCAATATGTACTTAGCCATTATGTCCCTATCAATGAATATATGCCTGAGGTCTGACTTCAATATAGCCCGAGCTTGTGAGGGCTATATTGACGACAGACCGAATTGTTGTATTACATACCTAAAGTACATTTACATAATATTTCATAAAGATGATGATTATGTAGAAATGCGTGAAAAATACCAAAATTTTATCCATACAAATGCTTCGCTAGGTATGTAATACATTTATATAAAAAATATAAGGCCTTGAAACTAATAACATTTTTGAATTAAAGGGTACACAAACAAGTTCCATTACCTAGAAATATAATGTTGGTTCTAAAAATTGAACAGTTCTCTGAATTGAATGTACATGTACAGATGTACATGTACTGTAGTTCTTATAGATTTATTATCTTAGGTGAATGGAAGAGAAAATGTTAGTAGGATTATTTATCACAATCAAAATATATCATAATACAATATAGCTTGACAGCTACTAAGTGCTTAAAAAGTGTTTTCATTAATATCATCTTTTTTGGTTTCATCTTCTTCTTTCAACTTTCATCTTCAAATTGGCTCAAATGTTGTTCTTTTTCTTTCAAGAAAAGAAGAGTATTATCATTCAAACTTGAACTATGTAAGGGGAGGCATGAAAAGATCAATGTCTGATAGAAAACTAAATAAATCTAGTTTGGGGGGAGGGGGTCAAAGCTATTTCAGTTTGCTATCTGACAAATTTCAACTTTTAAAAATAAAGACTTAATCAGATGCCAGTCCTTCACCAAGATGCATGCAACATGAAATATAATGCCTATTGTTGTTGGCACATGTTTTAAGAATTATAAATAAGCTATAGTACTGCCCCCATTTAAGTCCAAATTGAGTCGCTAAAACATGTGAAAAGTCCGCGATCAACTTTCATTGTAATTAGTTTTGAGGGGGAGGGGGGTCCAACTCAAAACTAGATTTATCTAGTTTCCTATCAGAATTGAACTTTTGATACCTCCCCTAAAATATTGATGCAATTTTGATCTATCAGAAGTAGTTTGTAAATAGTAAATGTAACCTACAAAATACATGATACCATTGAGAACACTTATGAGGCATTCCTTATCAAATAAAGATTAAAAGCTGGAGGCCCAGCTATAGCAGGTCAATATTGGTAAAGAGATCAAAATGCAAGGACCTGTTGGTGAATCGGATAATGGAAAACTGATTCTATATAAAGCATGGTTTTGTCCATTTGCTGAGAGAGCTTTAATTGCCTGCAAAGAAAAGGGAATAGACTTTATTGAAAAAGAAATTGACCCTTTTGAGAAAACAGAAGAGTGGCTAAGCATCAACCCCAATGGAACTGTTCCAGCACTTACACAAAATGGAAAGAACCTTTATGAATCCAGTATATGTGTTGAATACATCAATGACTGCTACAATAATGATGTCAATCTTCTCCCCCTGGATCCATACGACAGAGCATATGTTCGTCTTTGGGGCGATATCATTGGCAAAAAAATTGTGCCATTTTACTTCAAAACCATGAAGACTCCAGAAGAAGATGATAAGAAAAAGTCCATAGAGGATCTCCTTGCAGGGATAGAGCTCTTCAGTAAGGAGACGCAAAAGAGAGAAGGGTCTTTCTTCATGGGAAATGTGTTTGGCTACGTTGACTTGATGTTGGCAAAACTGCCCTAATTCACGTCACCATACTAGTCAATGGGCAAAAGGGCAAACGCCTGACTTTTTATCTCGAGTTATGGATTTATGTGGCCTCACTGGCCTATCTGAGGTTCTAAAGCTATGTCTAAGCTACATCTTGACACTAAACTCAATAGGGGCCAATCATCTACTTTTTGAAATAATTGGTCAATTGTGACACTACCCCCTCTCTCTGCAGACACAAATTGAAATTCACAAAAATGAAGGCAAAATTAATACGCCACTTGACTCGAAATTTTCCTTCAGATAACCCGAATAAACGCATTTTCAGAAGAAATGGCATGTTGCCATTGCAAAAAGATTACAACTGTGCCTACATACTAGCTTACTGACTCGTCATGATCACAATTGTGTTGGGACTACATTTATTTTTGAATACTACTTTTTTCTATTCAGCGGAAGTGACGTATTAGGGCATTTTGGCCTAATAGCCACATGGTTGGGTGATTTCTGGCTTTAAATTGCGTTTTTCCAATTTACTAGAGTTTTTCAAGTAGTTTTGTGCAGTTTAAGAATATTCTGACAGCAATTATGAAAAATATGGCTACTTCATTACCCCTGGGGTCATTTTTCCAAGAACCCAATGGTTTTCCCTTAAATTTGACTAGTTTTTCATTTACATCATGAAATCCACTGCCTGATGGTGACATTTTTCAGTATCGTGTCAAGAAATTGAGTATTTTATTGCATATTGCGATTTTTAGCCAAAATCACTGAACCGTGAACCAGAAAATTGGACAAATTTGGCCCACTTTTTGGCAAAATCTTACTAAAATCATCACTTTTTCATACTTTATTCCATTCAACAACCTCCTGATTTGAAAAATGATGACAAATTTGATCAGTTTTGACTCTGGCCTAGAGAATTGGGACTTTTGAGATATTTTTTAGCTCGAATGTAGTCATTCAGAGTGAACAAATACATCAAAAATTGACACTTAACTCACCAATTTCTGACTGCACCCCCGATATGTACCTTCTTTCTATACTGGAAACCATAAGATGGAAAATTCAATCTTTATGATGAATAGCAACTCGTTGGCTTCCCCATTTACGACAACAAATGACATTTAGGGGTCACTAAGGACAAAATTGTAGCCAAATATCGTCAAAATCAGTGGTTTTTGGGGTAAAAAGTGAAAACTGCTGATTCAGCAAAAACATTAAATTTGTTCATGAAAATTCCCCTTTTTGCCTCTGTCCAAAATATGTTTCACACTAATAAACTTCAATTCTGGGCGAGTCTGAGTAGTTTTAAAAAAATTTGGTCACTTTCACATGTGACTAATAGGCAAAACTGCCCTAATTCACGTCACCATACTAGTCAATGGGCAAAAGGGCAAACGCCTGACTTTTTATCTCGAGTTATGGATTTATGTGGCCTCACTGGCCTATCTGAGGTTCTAAAGCTATGTCTAAGCTACATCTTGACACTAAACTCAATAGGGGCCAATCATCTACTTTTTGAAATAATTGGTCAATTGTGACACTACCCCCTCTCTCTGCAGACACAAATTGAAATTCACAAAAATGAAGGCAAAATTAATACGCCACTTGACTCGAAATTTTCCTTCAGATAACCCGAATAAACGCATTTTCAGAAGAAATGGCATGTTGCCATTGCAAAAAGATTACAACTGTGCCTACATACTAGCTTACTGACTCGTCATGATCACAATTGTGTTGGGACTACATTTATTTTTGAATACTACTTTTTTCTATTCAGCGGAAGTGACGTATTAGGGCATTTTGGCCGTTGTTTCCATTTGTATACAGATGCAATGCTGTACTTGGGAGATACAGAGACTTCAAAGTACCAAAAGATGAAAAGTAAGATTTAAGTTCTTATAAGGCATAACTGGTTTGTATAACTCTGATATGTTGCTTTCAAATTTATCACCCCCTATATAACTCTCTATCAAGCTTCCAAGTCTGACAATGTCATTCAAATTATAAATCTGAAATATAGCATCTGATGGGATTTTTATTGTATAAATGAATGTATCACTTTAAAAGCTCCAATATAAATGCACATGCTGGTGTGGACAGTGATTTGTAAGTGGTAATTCAGTCTTCGATTCAATTTAATAATTGAATAAGTAATACATTTTCAATAAGTTATCTAAAGTGAGTAGCATTATTTATGTACATATTAAATGGTTCAGACTATCAGTATGTATCACAACATGCCCATGCCATTTGTATATACTTATCAGATAATAATTGATGTATTTGCCAAGTATTGATGATTTTATATGGCAGTTTCATGCACACAGTACTAGTTTAGGGTCAGATCATTATATCAGTGTCACTAAATAGTGAATTGATTTTTTTTATTGATTTTTATTTTATGCTTCTTTTGGACTTAAATTAATTGTGTATATTCTCACCTTTTTTAAAAGAAACAGCCAAAAAGTAGCACATTTCCAGAGTCCAATGATGTTTTTACATCTTTTAAAAACTAGAACTTGTTCAAAAGTAGCACTTTTCCAGAAAATAAATAAATACCAAATGAAAGATTCCCCTAACCTTTTTAAAAGCTGCCAGAAATAAAATGGCCATAAGCAGCAAGTAGGGTTCTACTAAAATACCCCTAGATGTCCCAGACATTAGATCTTGGGGGCCAAATAAATGTTTTCTGGACAACAATGCCCACAGAATTCCACCCTCCTTTCAAAGCTTTCAACATTCAGGCCTTATATATATTTTGAAAGTTAAACTACTACCTACTTTCTTTTTCAAAAAATTTTTTTGGTTATGAAGTATAATAATATGTACTGGTCACATAAAAATATATACAGTTTATTTCTAAAGTTATATTTAGGCCTCTAGATACTGTAGACGGCGGACACTGTGAAGGCTTGGACATTGCTCTGATGCTATAACTTCCATATACACTGGAGTAAACTACAAATTGTTCCACATATTTCTTCAATTCAATTCAATTTGAAAGAATTCCCAGTGGAAATGCTCAATCATATTGATGATCATGCCAAATTAACCCAATTTATAGAATACAACGACCATAACCAAAATAATCCATGTGATCCATCATACCTTTTTAGTAAAACATGAAAAACTGATCAAATTTATATGCCGATACTATTATTCTTCCAGATACCAGGCTTACAACAGATGGTACGAAGCATGTCTAGAACATGAAAGTGTGAAGTCTATTCTGCAGGACCAAGAAAAGCTCTTTGACGACTATAACAGCAAATATACAAATCCTAGACTTTGAATTAGCACATAAACTACTAACTGGACACTCAACTCTATCATATATGTAATGGAGGATCTGGGGATGAATTCCATCACAAATTGGGCCTCAGTTTAAGAACAATTTCAGTTTAAAGCAGGAGTAAATAGATTTGAAATTTACTGGACATTTTATTTGGGCTTATAAATGCCACAATATATGTGTTATTATTACATTAAAGGCAGGTATGTTATTGGAATAATGGATGGAGGAAGGAGACTGCATGGAGGAAGGAGACTGATGTCTATCCCATCATAGTTGTTGATAGAGGCTTGAGGTTGAAATGGAAACTTATTTTATAAATTCAGCAATGACATTAATTTAGTTATGATAACATCACTTACAAGTATTTATTACAGGTCGTGTAGTCCATTGTTGCTTGATTTATAGCAAAAACGTTGATTTGTGCCTGTTGATGGCCTTGCGCCTTTTTTAATAGATCTCATACCTTAGATGCGTATCGTTTCAGAAAAAATCCCAGAAAACCTAACATATTCTACCATACCGTGCGCCTATCCATTTAGCAATTCAATAGTAAACTTTTTCTTGAAAAAATAAATCTTCCAGATTTGTTGAATTTCCTAGCAGAAATTGCCTGCTCCCCCCTCCGTCCCATATTCACGATCACCGGGCGTGGAAACAGCTGATCAAGAGGAAGGACATGCATGCAATCTTTCAAGAACTTGGAAAATCTATAGTTCTTGACCAAAGGCATCTTCAAGAACTCGAAAAATTTATGTGCATCATGTACGGGGAAAAGAAAAAAACAGACATCAACCATGTACGATACATAAAGTTTGCCAACAGATTTCAACCTCAAGCCTCTATCAACAACTATGATGGGATAGACATCAGTCTCCTTACTGTATAAGATGAAATATTGCCGTGGATATAAATTTGCCAGATGAATCAGATGCAAAATTGATGATATGACAGATAATGAAGTCAACAATTTCATAGATGGAATCTTTTCAAGTGATGTTGATGACTAACAATGATCAACTGCTTGAAGCAAATGTTGAAGTGAATACTCAAGCAAAGTGTATTGATAAAGTTATTCAAAAACATATTGGTCGAACATACGAGGGTTGATCATAAAGTTCTCATAATATCTCTCTAATTTCTTTAGTTTTCAATATTTCCCTATGAAATTTTCACAGAATGTGTACCATGGAGTGTTTTATTAATCCAGCAAACAATATTTATAACTAGACTTTGGAAATTGAACAAGTTCAATTTCAGACTCCAGATTAAGACCTTTTTTAGCTGAGTCATCCAGAATAAGCCGAGTCATCCAGAATAAGCTGAGTCATCCAAAAAAAGATGGATGAATAAAATAGGAAGGTAGGATAGGATAGGAAGGAACGATAGGATAGAATAAGAAAGAAGGATAGGATAGAATAAGAAGAAAGGATATGATAGGATAGGATAGGAAGGAAAAGATACGAAGGAAGGATAGATAGGAAGGATAGGATAGGATCAGATAGGAAGGATGGATGAATTTTTCAATATTTTCTTCTCTACTCTTGACTTTCTATCAGAATACCATCAGATCGATTTCAAAACGCCATAACTTCCAAACCAGTAGACAGATCCAAATTTGGTTTGCAGATTCGGATTCCTGACAAAATTCTACCCCTAATAGTAATTCATAACTCATACGTTAAATTTGGAAACTTTTTATTTTGACTTACTTTTTGGACACGCCATAACTTCCGAACCGGAAGTCGGATCGAAATTTGAATTGCAGATTCGGATTCCTGACAAAATTCTACACCTAATTCATTTTTTTATTTTGACCTACTTTTCAGACACCATATCTCGAAAGTGGGTCAAAATACTTTCTGACGGCAAAAAGCTAACACTATTAGCACACTCTTGGCTACATGTATACACAATTTCGAAGAATATAATTGAAGTGTAGTGTCAGAAACGCAAAAATAAGGGAAACCTTTGAATTTGACCTAGATTTTGACCTAGGCATTTTGGTGTCCAAATTTTGAAACTAACTGGCTTTTGAGGTCCCCTTCTTTTAAGGCTTTCATTTAATTAAGCTGAACTCAGTCTATATTTCGTATTTCTCACTTCAAAAAAATCTTTTTTTCCCATTGACTTAACATGGGCACCAAATTTAGCGATTTTTGAGCTTTTAAAACGCCATAACTTCCAAACCGGAAGTCGGGTCGAAATTTGGTTTGCAGATTCGGATTCCTGAAAAAATTCTACCCCTAATTGATAACTCATACCTTGAATTTGGAGAACTTTTTATTTTGACATACTTTCTGGACGCCATATTTCAAAATCGGTAAGAGTAATCAAAAAACGGATGGCACACATATGAAAGGGCTGTTTCTAAGCTACATGATGAAAAAAAGATGAAGACGTTTCGATAAATAACGACGAAGATAATAGACAGAAGGTTGAAAATGTAAGATTTGACCCAGTTCTAGGATAGGATAGGATATAGAATAGGAAAGAAGGATAGGATAGGAAGGAAAGGATAGGAAGGAAGGATAGATAGGAAGGATATGATCAGACAGGATAGGAAGGAAGGATGGATGATTTTTTCTATATTTTCTTCGCTACTCTTGACTTTCTATAAGGATATCATCAGATCGATTTTTCTCGAAATTTCAAAACGCCATTATTTGGTTTGCAGATTCGGATTCCTGAGTAAATTCTACCCTTAATTCATAACTCAGATGTTAAATTTGGAGAACTCGTTATTTTGACCTACTTTCTTGACGCCATATTTCAAAATCGGTAAGCGAAATCAAAAATCTAATGTCATATCTTTGCTTTGGCTTTTTCTAAGCTACATGATGAAAAAAAGATTTAGGAGTTACGATAAACAACGACGAAGATAAATGACAGAATGTTGAAAATGTAAGATTTGACCTAGTTCTTGACCTTTGACCTAGATAAAAATTTGATCCAATTTCCGAGGAACTAGATACTGGACATAAATTGACTGAATAATGATCTTTATTGGAAACCTTATGGTTATCGAGAAAACTGGGAAAGAAAAATAAGAATAAAGAATAATAAGAATACTGGCAAAAACAATAGACTCCAGATTGACATCTGGAGTCTAATAACAGAAACATTAATTAAGAAATGGTTGCCATAGTAACTTGAAATCAAGGCATTCGGGGCAAATAAATAAACTAGCTAGACTAGCCCCATTAACCATGTTTAAATACATAAGTTGTCAAATAAGCTATCAAACACATTAAATTGTCAAATTATATGGAACAGCGGATTATATAAAAATGGACTGTAACAAATACCTGGATTTGTTGATTTTTAAAAAAAGTAATTTTTTGATATCACTTTTTATGCCCGGCATAAAAAGTGATGTCCCATTTTATGCTGGCATAAAAAGTGATATCCCATTTTATGCTGGCATAAAAAGTGATGTCCCATTTTATGCTGAGCATAAAAAGAGATACTCCATTTTATGCTGGTATTGTTTAGGAAGTGATGTTTAATGGTAGTTCAAGATTTAAGACCCATCATTCTGGCACAGATTGCTGAAAGCATCTCTGTCATAGATAGAACTCTGCCACATTTCTTAGAAATCAAACTACTATGTGACATCATAGATAATCTCACTGTCACAGATAGAATTCACCTAATTCCCATTGTGATGATTGATGATGACATCACAGACTGTCAACACATATAGACAAAAATGAATTTTAAATGCATATTGGGATATTGTTTGCTAGGACAAACAGAACAGTTTCAGCTATTAATTCTTAATTCTATTAGGAATTCTTAACTAAAATAAGTTCAGCAATCTATGTGAGAAAGATGGGTCTGAAATCTTGAACCACCTTTAAACATCACTTACTAAATAATACCAGCAGAAAATGGGGTATCTCTTTTTATGCTCAGCATAAAATGGGACATCACTCACTTTTTATGCCAGCATTAAATGGGACATCACGTTTTATGCTGGGCATAAAAAATGATATCAAAAATTTTTTTTTTTAAAAACCAACAAATCCGGGTATTTGTTACAGTCCATTTTTATATAATCCGCTGTTATGGGCTCTTGACTGTTGTGAACTATTATAATAGTTATGTGAATTGTGTGATCTCATAATGGATCATTGTTATGCTTCGTTAGAAGTGACTCTCAGACCCCATGACTGTTTTGTCAAATATCCTGAGGAAAATTGATTTTGCCCCTTTGGTTCATTTTTAACATGCACAGACCACACACATTGTGTAATTGTGTTGATATCTTAGCAATATATTTGTTTTAGATCATGTTTAGTCTGACCAAAGGATCTTACAAACTTAACATAACATTTTATCAGTATGAATTTTATTTTTCTGAAGATCTCTGCATCTATTGCATTCTTTTACTCAGTCATTTCTGATCATTAGCTTTGAGTCTCAGACTCTGGTATCACATCTAATGGAGCATGAAAGCACCCCCTATGACATCACACAATTTACACGATCAATTTATTGAATTGTTAAAGCACTTTACAACATATCAAGTTAACATTTAAACGTGTTTGGTAATCTATGAGAGTTTATTATGTATATAAACATGGTGAATTAAGCTCATTCTCTCAATTATTCTTATTTGCCCCGGGTGCCTTGATTTCCCGTTACTATGGCAACCATTTCTTAATTAATATTTCTGATAATCTAAAAAAATTGCTGAATTAATAAGACATTCTATGCTGCACATTTTGTGAAAATTTCATTAGAATATATTGAAAAATAAATTAGAGAGATATAATGAGAGCTTTATGATCAACCCTCGTATTAATCATTATTGAATGTTGTCAAGCATATTGACTGAATGTTGTCAATTGAATGTTTAGTCAGCGGTAGCCTATTGATTATGCATATCCTAAAGCATACAGATTTAATGCTTATAGTTTTATGCTTAGAAACTAAATTACAAGCAAAAAAGAAACGATTACTTCACGGATATCAAACCTAAGTGCATCTCTGGATTAAATGCATATACTGAAATCATTAAAACTAGTTGGATAATATATTTCAATTATGTCAAATGAAAATAGGAGATTATTGCATAATATAAATATGTTTTTGTAATATTCTCAAAAATGATGACAATTCAAAATATCTTTCACGTAGTGTTGTGACAACCTTCTAAAACTTATATTTTGATTTTGTCTAATAAATATACTATTATTATTAGCTACACCCTCAGAAAAAGTGTTAAGACTTCAATTATATGTATAATATGCAGAGAATGATGTGGATAATCAACATGAGAAATTTTGGAATGGAGGCTGTAATAGTTTCTGAAATATAGCTATTTGAAAAAGTTTCAGGAAAAAACCTTTATTTTCGCAAATAGGGGGGGGGGGGGGCGGGGTATTTATCCCTGGATGGCGATGAAGAATTATCAATATCGTACAACTCTCATGTTATTATCTTAGCTTATATAGTCAAATTATTTGTAAAGCCTAAAAACATTTAATAAATATGTCATTGGGTCATGTAATTTTTACTTCATTGCGACATTCCGACAATGCTGAAATTGGACCTTGAAAATACCTTAATTATTAGCTATAGAATGGATAAATCTCAATTATATGTCTATTATGCAGAGTATGATGTGTATAATCACCATGAGAAATTTTGGAATGTAGGCTGTAATAGTTTCTGAAATATAGCTATTTGGGAAGTTTCAGGTATAGACCTTTATATTCGAAAATGGGGGGGGGAGCGTTTATTTGTGCCTGGATGGCGATGAAGAATTATCAATATTGTAGAATTCTTATGTTATTATTTTAGCTTATATAGTCAAATTATTTTCTAAAGCCTAAAAACATTCAATAAATATGTCATTGGGTCATAATGTTATTTTTACTTCATGTCGACATTTAGAAAATGTTGAAATTGACCCTTGAAAAATACCTGAATTATTATCTTTAGAACGGATTAATCACCCAATTTGTATGAATTTTTCAGATTTTACTTTGACATACCTGTTGATTACCCATGCCAAAAATGAAGATGATCAAAAAAATACTTCTTTAGTTATAAGCATTTGTCATAGTACCCCCAAGAATTTGTCGTCAAGGGGGGTAAAACTCAAAAATGACAATTTTCGCACCAGAAATTGATATTAGACTGAGTGGATTCTAATGTAGGATGATGATACGGTTATATTTAAGCAATAAAATTATCCCCAGCTCCCGACCCCGACCAACCTTGCTATACATGGGGAATATAATTTTACCACAATGATTTTCTATTTTCTCTATATCAGTCTCTGTACTGAATCTGTCAATAACCCAAAATCATGCTGTTTTTACAATTCTGAGCACTTTTCAAGTGATTTTGGCCTTTTATGGGCCAAATTTTTCAAAAGGAACCACCTAGGCCTGTAGCCAAGATTTGCCAAGGGGGGTTCAGTTTGAATGAAGGACCCACGGTCCTGTGCTCACACAGTTTGGAACCTTCAGAGGAATGTATATACTGACTTTCAAACAAAAATGTTGATTTGGATCTGTAGTCTCGAACTTTGAGAAGCTTAGATTGAAACCTAGTTTGATGAGCTCAGAGCTCAGTAAGGTCTTTTGTGATTAAGCTGACCAAAATTTACATCCAAAAATCAATTTGAAAAATCAACTTTTTTTACTTTTTTTGCGAAGGTCACTGAAGGTCAAGTAAAGGTCAAATCATAAAACTAATGTCAGATTTGAATTCCTGGCAACTTGTAGATGATTTTCAAAAAAAATTTTGGTCAAATTGAAGCCAGTTGAAATAGCTTATTTTTACTGCTTTTTTTACGTCAAATATCTCAAAAACTGTAAAAATTTGATGCTGACATATATTGAGCAATATGTAGGGAATGCTTAAATCTAGTTATGATGTAATTCATTGCAAGAAATGATCAAGTATAAGGCAAACTTGAGAAACTTGTCAATCACAAAACCTGCCATTGACTTTATACATGAGAAAGTTTCCTGAAAATGACTAAGTCCTACTTTTTGTCAAATTTTATAGAGTAAAAACCAAAAACTGTAATTCCAAAAGCTTTGAAATCTTCAGAGGATATAAGTTGCATATACAGCAACTACTAAAAGTTATTTGAAAGTTCTACTTCAACAAAGTGTCTAGTATTTACAGAAAATTTGACTTTTTGACGTCAAAATCTGCAATTTCTCGGAAACTGGGCGAACTTGGGAAATGGCGATGATAGGTCAAATAGGCATTATGGATATGCATAAAATGAATGTGGATATGACTCAATCGGAATAGCAGTTTTAATTTGTGCGGCCAATGTTGACGGATGGACGGACCAACGGACGGACCAACGGACGGACGGACGGACGGACGGACCAACGGACGCCTGGTCGATCCCATAGGCTCACTGTGTGAGCCAAAAATTCATCTGGAATCCATTGTGCCTGCAAACAGGAGCAATCATGTTTCTGAATAAATTATAACGGGCCTGCCACCCCTGGAATTTTTGGAAAAGTGATTTTAGCAAGAGTATGCAATGCAGAAACAGAAACATCCCTATATTTCAGCTTGTATTTGCAAATGCAACTAACGCCTGTTGGCTGCCAAAGGTCCATGTGCAGTATGGCAAGTGATTTTAGACAGTCATATCTTTCACCATGAGTACTTTCTGGCCATAAATACAGTGGCTTTTATTAAAACAATATGTTTTCTCTCAAGTGAAGTCCCCATGATACTAAAATATCGATCCAACTTTCTGAAGAATTATGGATTAGGGCCCCACCTTGGCACTTTTTGAAAAATGTTAGGCTTATTTTCTAAAAAGAGGATCTTGTTTTTCTCAATTTAAACATATCGAAAGTCTCCTCTACACTATATTAACAATTTCTGAAAAGGGGATGGGTATTGAAATGAGTTAAAGTTAAAAACCACATATCCCATGTTATATTCCCATAGGGAAAACTCGTGCTATCCATTGTTTTCAGCATAATTTTGGTCATCAAAAATTGATATCTTCAAAACTAGACTTTCAATACACTTCTATTTTTGAACATGTATTAATTGTTGAATAATGTTTCATGCAATAAAAATCAGAAAAAGAAGATCCTCTTTTGAGTAAATAGGTTCATCAATACTTTGAAAAAAATGTTGACATGGGGTCCCTATTCATAATTCTTTGAATTGTTTGATTTATATTTTTATCATCATGGGTACTTCATTTGAAAGAAAACATATTGTTTTTATTAAAACCACTGTATTTATGCCCAGAAAGTACTCATGATGAAAGATATGACCGTCTAAAATCACTTGCCATACTGCACATGGTCTTTTACTTGCTATTTCATGGACAACTCATTTAAAAATGAATAGTACCTGCCACTATTCTGTTCATATTTAGATTAGTTGATCATAAAATATTAGGTTAATCCAGTTGCCAACAGGCGCTAGTTGCATTCACGAATACAAGATTAGCCACTATGTTTTTGAGTGTCCTTCATAATAATTGGTTTGACAATCAGCAAGTCATCATGATTTGCAAAAAGACAATTTGTCAATATGAGGTCTGACGTCAATATAGCCCGAGCTTGTGAGGGCTATATTGACGACGGACCGAATTGTTGTATTACATACCTAAAGTACGCACCCTTAATTATTATATATCAGCACTGTAGTAGGGTTATTAATCATAATATATCATAATACAATATAGCTTGACAGCTACTAAGTGCTCAAAGAGTGTTTTGTTTAATGGCATTATATTTTTGGGTTTATCCTAAATTGGCTCAAATTCTTTTCAAGTAGTAAAGAAGAGTATTATTATTCAAACTTGAACTATAGAGTATTAATATAGGTGTACATGTAAATGTACTGTAAAATGACTAAGCATTATTCCCTAATCAAATAAAGATTAAAAGCTGGAGGCCCAGCTATAGCAGGTCAATATTGGTAAAGATATCAAAATGCAAGGACACGTTGGTGAATCGGATAATGGAAAACTGATTCTATATAAGGCATGGTTTTGTCCATTTGCTGAGAGAGCTTTAATTGCCTGCAAGGAAAAGAGTATAGACTTTATTGAAAAAGAAATTGACCCTTATAAGAAAACAGAAGAGTGGCTAAGCATCAACCCCAATGGAACTGTTCCAGCACTTACACAAAATGGAAAGAACCTTTATGAATCCAGTATATGTGTTGAATACATCAATGACTGCTACAATAATGATGTCAATCTTCTCCCTCTGGATCCATATGACAGAGCATATGTTCGTCTTTGGGGCGATATCACTGGCAAAAAAATTGTGCCATTTTACTACAAAACCATGAAGACTCCAGAAGAAGATGATAAGAAAAAGTCCATAGAGGATCTCCTTGCAGGGATAGAGCTCTTCAGTAAGGAGACGCAAAAGAGAGAAGGGCCTTTCTTCATGGGAAATGTGTTTGGCTACGTTGACTTGATGTTGTTTCCATTTGTATACAGATGCAATGCTGTACTTGGGAGATACAGAGACTTCAAAGTACCAAAGGAAGAAAAGTAAGATTTAAATTCTTATAAGGCATAACTGGTTTGTATAACTCTGATATGTTGCTTTCAAATTTATCACCCCCATATAACTCTCTATCAAGCTTCCAAGTCTGACAATGTCATTCAAATTATAAATCTGAAATATAGCATCTGATGGGATTTTTATTGTATAAATGAATATATCACTTTAAAAGCTCCAATATAAATGCACATGCTGGTGTGGACAGTGATTTGTAAGTGGTAATTCAGTCTTCGATTCAATTTAATAATTGAATAAGTAATACATTTTCAATAAGTTATCTAAAGTGAGTAGCATTATTTATGTACATATTAAATGGTCAGACTATCAGTATGTATCACAACATGCCTATGCCCTTTGTATATACTTATCAGATAATAATTGATGTATTTGCCAAGTATTGATGATTTTATATGGCAGTTTCATGCACACAGTACTAGTTTAGGGTCAGATCATTATATCAGTGTCACTAAATAGTGAATAGATTTTTTTTTTATTATTTTTATTTTATGCTACTTTTGGACCTAAATTAATTGTATATTCTCCCTTTTTTAAAAGAAACAGCCAAAAAGTAGCACATTTCCAGAGTCCAATGATGTTTTTACATCTTTTAAAAACTAGAACTTGGTCAAAAGTAGCACTTTTCTAGAAAATAAATAAAGTCCTAATGAAAGATTCCCCTAACTTTTTTAAAAGCTGCCACAAATAAAATGGCCATAAGTAGGGTTCTACTAAAATACACCTAGATGTCCCAGACATTAGATCTTGGGGGCCAAATAAATGTTTTCTGGACAACAATGCCCACAGAATTCCACCCTCCTTTCAAAGCTTTCAACATTCAGGCCTTATATATTTTGAAAGTTAAACTACAACCTACTTTAGGAGATCATGTTGGTGACAAAAAGTTGGTGACGCAAAATTTTTTATTGATTATGAAGCATATTTGATTATGAAGCATAATAATATGTACTGGTCACATAAAAATAATACATCATGCCAAATTAACCCAATTTATAGTATATAACGACCATAACCAAAATAATCCATGTGATCCATCATACCTTTTTAGTAAAACTGATCAAATTTATATGCCGATACTATTATTCTTCCAGATACCAGGCTTACAACAGATGGTACGAAGCATGTCTAGAACATGAAAGTGTGAAGTCTATTCTGCAGGATCAAGAAAAGCTCTTTGACGGCTATAACAGCAAATATACAAATCCTAGACTTTGAATTAGCACATAAACTACTAACTGGACACTCAGCCCTATCATATATGTATATGTAACGGAGGATCTGAGGATGAATTCCATCACAAATTGGACCTCAGTTTAAGAACAATTTCAGTTAAAAGCAGTAGTAAATATATAGATTTGAAATTTACTGTACATTTTATAATTAAGGGCTTATAAACGCCACAATATATGTGTTTTTATTACAAAGGCAGGTACAACGTTATTGCAAGCTTTTTGAGACAGCTCTTAAGTTCTAATAATTATTTGACCACAATTAAAACTAATGAGTTTGTTTGGCCAATATGTTATCTTCAATAAGGGACAATGAAATGAAAATAAAGTTGATCAGATTATACCTTAAGCTGTCATTAATCCACCCATCATCACCAATTTTCCCCAATAATGAGCCAATTTTTACCAAAAAGGCAGCATTTTATGCTAAATAAAGTGAAAAATAAAAAAAGTAAAATGGCAACCCTGCCACTATTTTCCTCATATAATCTCTGCCATTTAAGAAACTTATTCACTGATATTTGGCACTTGTGTATACACCATTCAATTTGCTACCAGCCTACCATATTTCATGACCATCAAATTGATAAATTTTTCATAACAGTATTCTCATGCTACTAAATATCATATAATATAACCATTGTCACAGTCATATTGTGCTTTTTATTACCACAGTCATGACAGGCCTTGCAACCATTGTCACGGTCATACACTGTATCTAGTCCAACAACATTAGACCTAGCCCGGGCCTCGTTTCTTATCTGACATGTGTTATGGCCCGGCTAGGTCTAACCTCCATGACCATTTTGCCTTTGATGCGTTAATTTAATCGTTCAGCAGGTTTCAACAAGCGGAACTAATTGAACCCTGAAAACATGGCAATATTACACAAAGAATGTGATTCAAGCATGCATACATACCTTATAAACACATACACCCCGTCCCTTATCCCCCTTAGACCCTATTGATGCATAATTACGAAAATATTGGAGACAGGTTTGGAATATGACGAAAATGTCGGTCAGTTTCAGTAACATCGAAATTGCAAATCATTTCAGGAATTAACCGTCATCACGGCACTGCATTAACGAACAGTTGGTTTGCAATTAATAACTATTTTGCGTGTATATACGCGCTATATAAATTAATCAAAGGTACCTGTTATCCTCAAAATTGATCTTTTTATCCCGAGTAATCGCGACAATAATTATCAATCTATTTGACAACAATTTCGTTTCGCTGGTAGTTTAATTTTACGATCCGGGACACTCAGACGAACAGACACAATGACAGACATGCGGAAATGTCACTTTAGAGATTGGTAAGTGTAGCCTCATTTTACTCGTATAAATGAACATTTAACACAATAATATTGTGTTAAATCGCTTGATGTTATGCATCAGTGTCAAGATTTAGGGACAAAAATTTATGTCATTTTAAAGTAAAGCTTTTTTTCTTTACAATGACGAGTTGAGAAAATTAAAAACATCCCACTTACTGAACTTTTAAACTTTTAAGGCATGTATTTTCAAAAAGCTTTACATTGGCGATATTCCATTACATTCTTGGACTTTGATTATTTTACGATTGAAAGTTGTGAACTTTTAATGCAGGCATTTTCAAAAAGCTTTCCATTGGCCATATTCCTTTACATTCTTGGACTTAGAATATTTCACGAAGCAACGTTGTGAACTTTTAATGCAGGCATTTTCAAAAAGCTTTACATTGGCCATATTCCTTTACATTCTAGGACTTAGAATATTTTATGATATATAGAAGTGTAATTTATGGCATGCATTTTCAAAAAGCTTTACATTGGCCATTTTCCCTTACATTCTTAGACTTAGAATATTTTACGATCTGAAGAGGTGAACTTTTATAGCATGCATTTTCAAAAAGCTTTACATTGGCCATATTCCTTTACATTCTTGGACTTAGACTATTTCACGAAGCAAAGTTGTGAACTTTTATAGCATGCATTTTCAAAAAGCTTTACAATGGCCATTTTCCTTTACATTCTTGGACTTAGAATATTTTACGATCTATAAAAGTGAAATTTTATGGCATGCATTTTCAAAAAGCTTTACATTGGCCATTTTCCATTACATTTTTGGACTTAGATTATTTACGATGTACATGTATAGAAGTGAAATTTTATGGCATGCATTTTCAAAAAGCTTTACATTGGCCATTTTCCATTACATTTTTGGACTTAGATTATTTAACGATGTACATGTATAGAAGTGAAATTTTATGGCATGCATTTTCAAAAAGCTTTACATTGGCCATTTTCCTTTACATTCTTGGACTTAGAATATTTCACGAAGCAAAGTTGTGAACTTTTTATGCAGGCATTTTCAAAAAGCTTTACATTGGCGAAATTCCATTACATTCTTGGACTTAGATTATTTTGCGATTGAAAGTTGTGAACTTTTATAGCATGCATTTTCAAAAAGCTATACAATGGCCATTTTCCTTTACATTCTTGGACTTGGATTATTTTACGATCTATAAGTATAAAGTGAATTTTATGGCATGCATTTTCAAAAAGCTTTACATTGGCCATATTCCTTTACATTCTTGGACTTAAAATATTTTACGATCTAACGAGGTGAAATTTTACAGAATGCATTTTCAAAAAGCTTTACATTGGCCATATTCCTTTACATTCTTGGACTTAGATTATTTTACGATCTTATGAGGTGAAATTTTATGGCATGCATTTTCAAAAAGCTTTACAATGGCCATTTTCCTTTACATTCTTGGACTTAAAATATTTTACGATCTAACGAGGTGAAATTTTACAGAATGCATTTTCAAAAAGCTTTACATTGGCCATATTCCTTTACATTCTTGGACTTAGATTATTTTACGATCTTATGAGGTGAAATTTTAAGGCATGTATTTTCAAAAAGCTTTACATTGGCCATATTCCTTTACATTCTTGGACTTAGAATATTTCACGAAGCAAAATTGTGAACTTTTTATGCAGGCATTTTCAAAAAGCTTTACATTGGCGAAATTCCATTACATTCATGGACTTAGATTATTTTGTGATTGAAAGTTGTGAATTTTTATAGCATGCATTTTCAAAAAGCTTTACATTGGCCATATTCCTTTACATTCTTGGACTTAGATTATTTTACGATCTATAGAAGTGAAATTTTACAGCATGCATTTTCAAAAAGCTTTACATTGGCCATTTTCCTTTACATTCTTGGACTTAGAATATTTCACGAAGCAAAATTGTGAACTTTTTATGCAGGCATTTTCAAAAAGCTTTACATTGGCGAAATTCCATTACATTCATGGACTTAGATTATTTTCTGATTGAAAGTTGTGAATTTTTATAGCATGCATTTTCAAAAAGCTTTACATTGGCCATATTCCTTTACATTCTTGGACTTAGATTATTTTACGATCTATAGAAGTGAAATTTTACAGCATGCATTTTCAAAAAGCTTTACATTGGCCATTTTCCTTTACATTCTTGGACTTAGAATATTTCACGAAGCAAAATTGTGAACTTTTTATGCAGGCATTTTCAAAAAGCTTTACATTGGCGAAATTCCATTACATTCATGGACTTAGATTATTTTGTGATTGAAAGTTGTGAATTTTTATAGCATGCATTTTCAAAAAGCTTTACATTGGCCATATTCCTTTACATTCTTGGACTTAGATTATTTTACGATCTATAGAAGTGAAATTTTACAGCATGCATTTTCAAAAAGCTTTACATTGGCCATTTTCCTTTACATTCTTGGACTTAGAATATTTCACGAAGCAAAATTGTGAACTTTTTATGCAGGCATTTTCAAAAAGCTTTACATTGGCGAAATTCCATTACATTCATGGACTTAGATTATTTTCTGATTGAAAGTTGTGAATTTTTATAGCATGCATTTTCAAAAAGCTTTACATTGGCCATATTCCTTTACATTCTTGGACTTAGATTATTTTACGATCTATAGAAGTGAAATTTTACAGCATGCATTTTCAAAAAGCTTTACATTGGCCATTTTCCTTTACATTCTTGGACTTAGATTATTTTACGATCTATAGAAGTGAAATTTTATGGCATCCATTTTCAAAAAGCTTTACATTGGCCATATTCCATTACATTTTAGGACTTAGATTATTTCAAGAATTAAAGTTGTCAACTATTATGTTATGTATTTTCAAAAAGGTTTACATTGGCCAAATTCCTTTACATTCCTGGACTTAGCTCATTTTACGATTTAAACCTGCACATCGCTCCAAAACGCAATATGTTGACATATATTGTTTTTACATTTTCAAGCTCTAATATAAAGTTTATGTAAATAAAAATTGTTTTTTTCTGCGTAATATCAAAGAACAATCATTTAGTTAAAAAAATAAAAAGGCAAGTGCGGGATTCGAACCCGGGCCTCCCGCGTGCTAATCGAGGATTCCACCCCTACACCACCGAGTTCTTGTGAAGAGTGGAAGTAATTAAATGCTACTTATTTTGAATGCTATGATTCGGAAGTGACGTCACGTTCTTCATTTAGAAACCTTTCCAAAATCATATCGCCGGCACCGATCGAAGCAAATTCAATGAAAAATCTTTGAAATGACACATTTATCGTAAGTATTTCTACACAAGATTTGCCCCATTTGTTCATCATTCTATAATCTTTCATTAAGCTCAAAATGATAAAGTTCACCCCCGAAACAACCCAAGATTGCGTTTCGGAGGGAAGTCCAGCTTTAAGTTGTGAACTCTCATAGAATGCTGTACATGTATTTCCACGCTTTACTGTCCCCTTTCCTTTAGCCTACTTATTTTGACTTTTAGATTTGGTATTTGTTGGATTCTGTTCTTTCACGACGTACAGTACATGTTGAATTGTAAAAACCATATGTCATTGGAGAGAATACAGTAAAGATTGCTAAATATAGGATGAACTTGCATAGACAATAGTATTGATAGTGATTGAAGAAATCCCCAAGAGAGCCCCTCGAATAGACGGGATTGTTTTCCCCGATCATCTTCAATACTTTCACAAGAGATGGTTGGAAATCGATCTAAAGTTATGCCTTATATTTCTAATTTGATGATAGAGTATGATTCCAGGTGGGAAAGTCGTGTAAAAGGCGAGAAATGTTAAAAGAAATGAGAAAGTTTGATGGGCTTTTGACATGCGCAGAACTCATGCGCAGAAGCTCTTTTGGTAAAATGCCGATCAAATTTCTTAACTTTGAAACATTTCCTTCATTTTATGGACTATTTTGCGATAACATTAGAAAAACATGGTGTTGAAAGCACCCAATGATAGTTAATCGGGAGGATGTACCGGCCAAT